TCTTTCTTCTATAGCCTGATTCCTGCACATACAACAATTTCCTACCATTAAAACAGATGATCATACTTCCTCGACTTTTGCAAAATGTTTCCATTTACAAATTATAATTATAAGTTTGGTATTTATAGTCACACATTATTAAACATTATTTTGGATTGTTCAGTCATTTTTATCCTTTACTTTTTAGGCCTTGCCAATGAAGGGCCTTAATAAGATAGACACACCACTTAACACTGTTACATATCTGGTGTCGACAAAGATAAATTAGTCACAGAAATATTTTGGGAATTGTCCAGAAATCACTAAATGTGTAACAAAAAACTATGATATATGATAAAGAAATAATTGAGATTAAAATGCTTACATCGAGATCCCGCACAAAACATCAATATGTGTCGGTACACATTATTTGTTCTGATTTTGATTTATTGGACGCTGACACGTATTTCTTTTTCTTTTCCTTTTAGCTGCAATGAAGTACTATTAGAGTATTAATTGGAATGGTGCAGGGAATCTACCGAACACATTTACAGATTAATTGTAATAGAAGCATGCCAATGAATGTCGATTTTCGTTATTGAGCCATTGTACCAAGAGAATCCCTCGTCTCTAGTTTATATTATTTAATTAAATATGTTGACAATGTTGTGTATTGTTCATTAGTAAATTATGTTTTCGGAATTAAGAAATACTTATCAGGGTTAGGCTTAATTGGGTTATCAATAAAGTTTAGGTTAGAATGGGGAATCATTTGTCTTCGTGGTTATTTGTCATTGTATGGTTCAGCATAGATTCATTGCCCATGTCAATTTCCTAGATGCTAAATACTCAGTGTGAGCGTGCTTCCCGTTCGTTGTGCTTCAATTTTGAAAAATATCTATATTCACATGTAACTATAATTCACCAATAAGCCTGACCCTCATTACTGACACTAAAGTTATTAATATGTGAACACTGAAATTCAGTTTAACTCTATAAAAATACTCTTTTGTCTCAACGCCGATATTTTATAGAGGGCGGTGTTGTAAACAATCAGTTGCCGGGTCCCATCACAGTGGCACGCATTCTCGATAACAACAATATAATTTAATAATTTGTAATTATTTCGAAAAAATCTTTGTCCATTATCGAAAACATCGTTTAACCATGCTGAATGTCTTAGCAACAGCTCATTTAAGTTTAAGTTGATGTAAATTCCTAAAATGTTTGGCCACACCAACAACGTCTAGATCTGTTTAAAACCGCCCTCTGCGACCATGCTATAAACAAAATCTATATGACCAATACCTAATGTGATATTTAAGCTGTTTTGAGTTGTGTTCATTTCTCCAGATTACTGATTACACATTTAATACAAATGGATCAGAAGAGTTTAGTGTTACCACTTTAACATAACTACTGATAACCTCGGCTCAATCTTTAATTTACGCCAAAAACAAAATATAGCCCACCACAATGCCTTGTGGGACGGCACTATTTAAATTTGACCAATCAGAAAAAAAAACATTGAACACAACCTTTTGTTGAGATACACTCATATAAGCAGTAATCCAATAAAGTGCCAATATATCATATATTATTTATTGTTTAATCACAGGACGTATGTAAGAAGCAGATTCAATAGCATTCTGAAAGTCAAAATATATGGTGTCAATGCAATGACTACTTCCTGAATGTCTGTCCACATTTCTTGTGGTTAGAAGTTGTCTATGGTACAACATGACCTGCCTACTGAAGCCGGTAGGCTGGTTGGCGATCCGCTCCGCTCAAAAACAAGCACCATGTTTTTGGCTGTTTCCATGGTGTGACATA